TCTGGCGGGTTAAGTAGCAGCGCACGAGGAGTTGCTCAGTTGTAGCCTCCTGGAAACAGCACTACGATTCGGAAGGTTGTGGTGAAGGTCTGATAATGGTAAAACTAATTTTTCTTAGAAGAAAATATTCTAAGGGTTAAAAAGTCATTTTGACTTATGAAAATATTTGTGACCACTGCATTTTACATTGGATGTTTCTAGGAGACGATGTCTGAGGATTGGTATACGAAAGCCATTTGCTTCTAGGTCACTGTTGAATCCCAGCCCAGGTTGGTAGTGACCAAAAGTCATTACCAGCGCTGCATGTTCCGTGACCTTTGTCGGATGGGTGGGCAGTTGCAGTTCAGGTTTAGGCTCCGTGTGAGGGGGAGACCTTTTAGAGCAAAGGGACAGTAGCTTTGGATGGCGTGAGAGTAGGCTGCAGAGTCGCTCAGTGTGCTGAACCTGTCCTGGCTAGTGGTTCCTAATGTGTGATGTGGTGGCACTTTTGACCAGGAACATGGTGTTCACTTAAGACGAGGTGTTTTTAAGAGGTCGTACATAACACCAGCCTCTGTTTGTGGCTACTGTAAGTATTCTCTAAGCTTGTCTTTAATACTCAGTGTAGCTTGCATTTCTACTTCATCAATGGGCGTGTGTAGCAAAGCGAATCATGGGAGTACTTGGTTAAGGTAAGATTAAGGAGCTGTGGTAAGCTTTGGGAAGTTTCATGAGAAATCAGACTTCAATCCTGTATGAAATTCATCACATTTCCTTAGTGTCTTCCAAATTCTTCACGCTCCGGCCTTTCCAGTGTTGGTAGACCTCTTTCAGTTCATATATCCAACTTGTTTCTCCGTTTTCCAGCTATGTAGCACCGCAACATCTCAGAGCAAAGGGAAATGGGAAGCTGAAGCTTCGTGTTGCAGTGTGTATGCTATAGTGGTCATCCCTGTTTTGACTTACTAATACTATATGAGTCCCTCAGATGAAACTGAGAAATGACAGAGAGAAATCAAATCCAGCCATGTCAGAAAGCATTATTTCCATCCTTATTAACGTGGATGAAATCTCTCCTTAGGTTGAGAATTTCTTCTGTATGGGATCTCCATTAGCAGTGTTTTTGGCATTGCGTGGCATCCGTCCAGGAAACAGCGGTAGTCAAGATCATATTCTGCCCAGAACAATTTGTAACCGCTTACTAAATATTTTTCATCCAACAGATCCAGTGGTGAGTTTTAATTGCAGTTGCAAGCTTTTACCTTGACTGTTTTTTAAGCCTCAGCTGTGTGAAAATGTGTGATCTTCAAAGCGTGCGAAGCAATGCAAGTGTGTTCCAGCCCAGGACTGTTTGTTGATGATTAGCATAGAGTGTCTTGGGTTTTGTAACTAGAATAACAGTTTCTACCAATAATTGCCTTGAATGCCGTATACTTTGCTTCTCTTTTCATATTTATACGCATAAGATTTGAGATTACTCTGCTTTTTGGGGTTTTTTTTCCAAAAAATAGAAATTATCCTTCTCAGTCAAGTTCCAACTTGTGTTTAACTCCCCGACTTCCATTAAACATCCTCTGTCCAAAGATACTATGGCTGTTAAAAAAGGCTTCGCAAGCAAAGATGGTGGTTTTTCCCAAAGTAACAGATGGTTAGGGAGTGGGATAGTACTCGGGGGGAGAAGTTTTGGTGTAGCTTTGCCCTGTCCTTACACTCTTCCATAGGCAGCCATTGTTCACCGTTACCAAAGGCGGGATGCTGGACCTTTGATCTGCATCGCCTTGGCAACGTCTTTGATGCAAGCTTGATTTGGGATTTCATGCTTACTGTAGAATAGGAATTTGGGGATACTTTTGCGTTTGAAGTCTACCTAAATCTGAATATATTCAGACTTGGTTCCAAACATGCTGGCTCTGCCCATGTCACGATCTTGTTCAGCTCCAGCTACTCTAAAGCCAGAATTTTCCTGGGACAACAAGGATGATTGCTCAGACTGCAATCTGTGGTCCCACTCTGCAAATAGTAACTTTACCTGGTTTTATTTACTATTACTAGTTGGCTTTTTTACTATTCTTTATTATTTTTATTCAGGTTTTATTTACTTGGATAAAGAAGTGCAGAATGCTTTTCTACATCTCAGTAAACAATAGAAAATCAATAGAAAATGATTGTTTTTAATAATTCATGGTTTGCACAGGGATCAGTGAAGAGCCATCAGACAAAATGTTTACACAGCCAGTTCCTCTCTCTCTGTTGTGTTGTGCAGAATCAGTTTAACTGTGTATAAAGTTTGCTCTGTCGGTACGCAACAGCAAACATCTATTAACTTGCGACGTAACAACGTGTAGTAGAAGTGTTGGAGAGGAATGCGCAAATGGGAGTGCACAAGCAACTAAGCAGCTGATGTATCTTCCAGGCTGTGAAAATAAAAGTGAAGCAGAACGTAACACCATCATTCTGTCGCTTTCTAGGCTTCGCTCATTACAGATAATTTGGATGTGAGGTTGGAGAGGACTCCCTGTGGGAAGGGAATGTGATTTTTTTCAGTCTCGACAGTCAGGATTTTCTTTTCTGAATTACTCTTGCAGGCCTATAGATTAGAACCTTTAATCCTGAAACACTACAGCAACATTTCGCCTGTCCAGATCCACTGGTACAACACTGCAAACCCTCTACCTTACGAGCATATGAAGCCAAGTTTCCTCAACCCAACAAAAGAACCTACCTCAGTTACCGATAGCGAAAGTGCTTCAACTGCTCCGAGCCCAACTACTTCACCTGTCATGGGTCGACGCCACTACGGGGAGTCTATAACAAACATAGGCAAAGCCAGTATACTAGGTAATTGTTCTTTACGTCCTTTTTCTTATAGAGGACCTCCCAGTAGAGCTTCGCTGCTTGGGGCACGGCCGTAAACAAGCTATTCCTGGCTGCGTGGTTTGTTCTGTAGAGGCGTGTGACTTGTTTTAATCCCAACTGAATTTGCGTTGAGGAAAAGACAGTTTACGTACATGGAAGTCGAGGCTTGCAGGGAGAGGGTGTGGGTCAGGGAGTTTATACTATTGCTGCCTTGTTGTTGTCTGCCTTTTTGAAGTAACATCCTGGTGATTTAATAGTTTCCACTCTACTTCATGGGGGAAAAAAAAATGTAAAGCCACGTTTGTGACTGCATTTTCTGGTAGTGGCAAATAGGAGTAAAATCACTCCAGGTGAGCTATTACAGTTCCATTTAACTCGAGGTTTTATAATAGGAAATTCAGCTTGGCTTAATATGAAATCTGTCCCCTTCTGGCTTTCTGATTCAAAATAAGCCCTGGTTTAGCTGACCGTAAATCCACTTTTCACTGGAGCTTATGTCTGAGCACGCACTTGCAGTTTTTGTTGACTCAAGGCTTTCCTTTAGCTCTCCTTGTGGGGTTTGGAAGAAGGCTAATGTGACCTAGTGCTAGGAATCTCGCCAATCAAATAAGTATCTAAAACCCGTTTAGTCCTCAAGTGGAAATCGGCGGGTTTTCAAAGCAGGGTTGTTTTTTGCTGTTACTATAGTAACTTTAGCGTCATGTCCATAAGGTGGCAGCAAAGGCAGGAGAAAACAGATCTGTTCATAACTTTCACACCCCTCTTCCCGAGCACCCAAAATAGTCCTTTTTACGGATGATGTAGCGTTTCTAAAGGTCTGTGAGAGCGATGCCAGCAGGAGGACCCTTAGCGGGAGGGGTGTTAGATGTCTCCATGGGATTCTTAGGTGCTGAAGGTACTAACGTCGTTACCAAGCGGTTTTGTCTCAGACTTTTTTGTGAAAGAGGAATCACAACACATCTGTAAAAGTACCAGATTTCTTGCTGCAGAAGTGTTCTCGTGTATTTTTGTTCCCCTAACTACAGTTTCCAAATTACAGCCTTTGCTTCCACGCAGGATTAGTCTCCCGAAAAACAGTGTGCGCTTAAGTCAGATAAGCTGTTCCCACCCCAAAAAAGCACGAACCGTGTTTTCCTTCGTCTGTCACTCAACTCTAATTGATGGGTGCTGCAGTGGCTTTAATTTGCGGTTTGTTTTAGCTCCCCTTGTGCTTGGTTTTTTTATTTTTTCCCCTCCGTGCTGAACGCAGGAGCTGCGAGTATTGGGAAGGGCCTCGGCGGGATGCTTTTTTCAAGATTTGGTCGATCTAGTACAACCACCGAGCCAGGAAAAGACGGAACTGAGGGGGACAACAAGAAGGCTACCACTGTTGGGACGCCACCTTTACCCCACAGCAGCTCGGGCTTTCTGGAACCCACAGGTTAGTGATGAGTCCGCCTTACAAACCCAGCGGGAACAAGACCTTCCGTGGCCTGGAAATGCCGTAACAGCTTTGTTGGTTTGTTCTAAAGTGATAAAAATTGAATCTGTTCCTGATTTTTTTGAATCTCTGAAAACTGTCCAAAGAACGATTGTTTGGTCTCCCTTGAATGGTTTTTTTCTCTTTAAAAGAGGTTTACCTGTATATGTGTGTGTCTGTAGACACATATACCCTATGTATATATGCATGTATGAGTTTTGGTTAATGAGATCTGCATGTCAGTAGTTCCTAGACTCCCTCTAGGAAAAGCAATCTAATTGCTGCAGAGAATCTCACTCACCATTTACTGTAAAATGGATTTATTTCAATTTTTATAGAATCACAGCACGGTTTGGGTTGGAAGAGACCTTAAAAGCCCACCCAGTCCCACCCCCTGCCATGAGCAGGGACACCTTCCACTAGACCAGGTTGCTCCAAGCCTCATCCAGCCTGGCCTTGGACACTCCCAGGGATGGAGCATCCACAGCTTCTCTGGGCAACCTGTCCCAGTGCCTCCCCACCCTCTCCGTGAAGAAAATTGAAAGAAATTTAAATGGATTTATTTCAGTTTCCCCCAGTTCTGAAGCAATCTGGATCTAAAGGCACATCTGACTGGAAACAGAAGCTGCCCTTCTCCTGGTCTGAACTGCCCAGAACCGAAAGTGCATTTTTAGCGGCTGTTTTTGGGGAAAAATATGAGTCCTTCCTTTAGAGGAATTCATCCTTGGTTTTATTTCTAAACTTCTCACTGGTGCTGTCGCAAGGCAGGGGGGGTTTTTTTTGCAGTCTGAGGAGTCACAAGTACGTTGTATCCTGTGATAGCGTGCACATGATACGCTGCTGTCCGTTCATCACCGCTGATTTCAACAGATAACCTGTCTGAGTCAGTAGGGGAGGACAGGGGCTCTGTGTTCAACGTGAGGAAGAGGGTGGCGTGACAGCCAACAGTGCGGAGCTGCTGCTGAGCTCCTTCCGGGGGCAGGCGGTTGGCACGCCGAGGGCCTTCTGCGCGATTCCCGCGTCCCTCTGTGCTGCCAGCCCGTCCCCTGCTCCATAGAAGGAGAACGCGGAGCGGAGGCCAGCGAGGCTGCGAAGGGAATGATGCAATCCACCGCCAAAGTATGCGCTTCTGAGCGGGCGGCCGCTCGGCTGGTGGTGGGGTTTGGCTGCCTCCCAAGCTGCTGTAGCCGCCTCTCCTCCCAGGGAGATGGAGTGGTTCAGGGCGTCCTTCCTGCCCAGCGACTGCCTTCCTGAATATATGTCTTGGTGGAAATGACTGCGGTTGTCTCCTGGTATTGGAAGGCCCTGACTCCCTCTCCGTGCAACGCTCCTGGGAGAGCACGGAGAAGGCACGGCGGGCCCCGGGCGCTGCTGAGCCGTGATGGCGGAGGCAGCGCTTGTGCGATGCTCCCTTTGAGCCAAGAATTCAAATTCCTTGAAGCTTTGATAAATGGCTGCATTTTTTACTCAATATGGGGTTTTGGCTTGTGTAGCTAAGCGGGCTTTTAGTTTTGTCCTTTTTATTCTCCTGCTCCTTGTAGAGATTCTCTAACCGCTAAAGTGCCTTAACAATAGGTTAACGGTTAAACATGCAGTGAAAATTGCTTTGAATGTGGTATTAATCAAACCCACCATTGAAATGAAGGGATAACTGCTGAAGTGTATTTGGAACGGTCTGGAAAATGAAAAGGACGGCAGGATTTCAGAAAGGGCTTATAACATTGGGTGTAGTCTCCTTGTGTAGCCACTAAAGAGGCGAGAAGTCCATTTATTTCGGAAAGTCCCGAGCATCCACCTTCTGAAGGTCAGTGTTTCCTAGTGGGGCCTCCACATTTGCTGGATACTTCTGTGTAGTTATCCGAAGGAGCGCAAATAAATGTATTTATATAGTTACTAGAAGGAAAACAGCTGCTTTAAAAAATGCCAGCTTTTTCCAAGCTTTAGGTTTAGTGGGGATTTTTCTTGATGGAGAATAAAAACGAACGTGCGGGGGCTTTTTTCATCTGCCCACAGACAGTTCTAACAACGTTTTTTGTTTCTTGTTCAACTTCTAGTGGAACTGGAGCACAGGATTGATTTTGAGCTCAGGGAAGGTCTCGTGGAGAGCAGATACTGGTCTGCGGTCACATCACACACTGCCTACTGGTCATCTCTGGATATTGCTCTTTTCCTTCTAACCTTCATGTGCAAACACGACCAAGAAGATACCAACAAGTCCAATTTAGACACTATTTGAATTTTTGACGGGGGGTGGGGCGGGATGGGAAAGGAAATTTTAAAACAAATGGCACAAAACTGATGTTGCACTGTTGAACCGCAGTATATATGGCATGGAGGTTTCAGGTTTAAGTGCATGTTTGGATTTTTTCCTGTTTCTAAAGAGCAAAAATGATTTGTATTTGAAAGCACTTTATAGTTTTAAACGTTTTTGCAGTTCTTAATTAGACTTGAAATGATTCCAAGTTCTTGTTGATTCTGACAGTACAAAGAGCCGATGCAATGTGTAACATCCCATAAGCACGGTTGTGCAGTGTGCTTGGGTGACATACTTGTTAATGACCATAATTGCTGTTTACTTCATTAAAGTACAAATGATGAGTTAATTTAAAAAAAAAATTAATTTCCACTAACAAAAATATATGTTAGAGACAAACCTAAAACTGCCATGTTCTGATGTTTTACGTATCAGTAAATAACAAACGGTGGTGTCATTTTCCTAGGGCTTTATTCAGCTCCACATCCTATTATCCGCAGGACCGTTGAGAGACCATTCTGACTGCTGCTTTCTGAGGGCGTCTTGTACGTGACACATTCAGAAACTAATGCTGAAAAAAGCATGAGGCAAATATTTGAAATACTGTAATTATAATTTATTCTTCTCTCTAATTGTTTCATTTTATTCCAGTGTATAAAGCATTACTTTTTTACTGGTTTCTTTTGACATAATTTAAGAACCACATTTATTTTCTACAGTGTTAAGACTTTTTCTCAGAAATACATATCTTTGTGCTACTATTCAAATGAATATATGGACACTGTGGCACACTTTAAGTATTTTTTCATTAAAAATAAATATTTGTGGTTTCACACAAATGCCATCAGTCACATTCTTCTCAAAAGTAAGTAACTGCCTTTGCTTTTCGGGTCCCAAGTGTGTCTCAGGCACAGGAAGGTTCTGATTTGGTTGCAGAGGCTGCAGCTGTCTTTTTCCTTGACGTTATTAGAAGTGTAAATGTGTGGGTTTGTCTAAAACCGTAGGTACATGCGTATTTATGCACAAGGAACCTACCCAGGGGAAAGAGAGTGGCATAAAATAAACCCGGTGAGGCCTGAGAATACCGGAGCTTAGAGTAGATTTGTGTCTGAAACCAATTCAGGAGAAGTCAGGATGTTGTGGGGAAAGGGAGTGACCTCCAGATGAAACACCGAGAGGTCGTTGCCGAGACTTTAAACCTCTGGAGTAGAAGTGTCAGGTGCACGGCATCCGAGCTGCCTCTGGCTGAGCCATCTGTGATCCGTGTGGGAGAAGGTGCCGAATATAAATCCTGTTTAAAAAAAAAATAAAAAAGAGGCTGTGGTGTTGGTGAATAGCGATATTCGTGGTATAAACCGGCGTGCCAACACCAGCAGGCAGCCTCAGCCAGTGGCGCGGGGTCGTGGAACCACCCAGACATTCCTTTTGGAAGTTTGTTGGTGGAGTGGGGAATATTCTCCCAAATAATATTACCTGGGCTCTTGCTTGTTTCCCCAGTCCATGGTGCGATGGGGAAGGAACTGGGAGCTAGACCTGGATGTTACGGATTTAGGAATAATTATAAAGGGGAAAATTCATTGCAAAGAAAAAGGAAAGAGAGGAGTGGAGGGGAATGGGAAGGGAAGGGAAAGAAAGGAGTGGAGGGGGATGGGAAGGGAAGGGAGAGAGAGGAGTGAAGGGGAAATGGGAAAGGAAGAAGGTGGCAGAAACAGCACAACTGGAAATGCAATGAAACAACAACAGAGATGTTCAGACATTGTTGAAGACCATACTTCCCTGTGGATCTCTGGAAAACTCCGTCTAGCCTCGGTGAATTGTAACTCCTGCCTGCCGTGTTTACCTCGGTTGATGAACAGTCATAAAAATGAAAATCACCCTCTAAGAGAAGGAAGGTTGACACCTCGGCTCCAGAAACCAGGCTTTTGTTTACATTGCTGGCTTTCCAGATAAGTTGTTTAATCAGCTCTTCCTAATTAGGAGAACTTCAACATGAAAGGAGAATCTCCTTTTATATTTAGAACACGCAAAACATTCCCAAATGTGCGTGGTTTGTGCTTCAGGACTCAGTTGGATCCCGGCACTGCTGTGATATCCCCTTACACTACTACACTAGATCTCTCTTTAAAGGCTGTAAACAAAAGGGGGTTAATTCCTATAATTCTTCTGGTCTGTGTAAGCTGCTGTTGTCCAGAACCCGTTTCGGACGTCCGGAGTAGCTGTTCCCCTGGCATGGGAACATGCTGGTACTTGCTGACTGCTCTCCGTATAAGGGGTGAGATCCTGCTTTTAGGTGCGTCCCCCTTGGTAAATGAGGGAGAAGAAGGAGCTGAGAAGCAAACCATCCTGCTGGTAGGGGAAGGGATAATAGGGACCAACACCATCGCTTTGCATTTTTCCTGAGTTAGTGGACGCACGTATCAACGATTTTCTTCTGATTTGTATCCTCGTGGAGCATCTGCTGATCTCCAAGCTCAATTACAAAGATGAAACACACCTCAGAAGAGCAAACGGAGATGCATTCTGAAGCCTGCTCAAAGATTTTAAGCGTGCTGTGGGCACTTTCACCTTTTTAAGCCTGAAAAAAACATCTCTCATCCTCCTGCAAAGATGAAGTACTATTTGAAAATTCAATTTTGAAGTTGTTAGAAAAGGGGTTGCCCCGTTTCTGTTCTGCACTATAAGACAGATTCAAGTAGGGTCACGTCTCTGCATGCTGAAGTCTAAATTTCACGCTTAAAAACTTGTGGTCAGATGGTCTGTGGCATGATATAGAGCTGGAATGTCCTGGCTTCCAATTACTGACTTGTTTTCTTCTGCAAGAATGATGTTTAGCTTTACAAGCTCTGTTGACTGGTGGTTTTTCTTGAGAAACCAAGATAAGGGGAACGTACTGCGCTGTTGTCAGGCTTCCGACTGATACTGAGCGGTTTTCTGAAACTTGTCCTTGAGTTCTTTGTCCAAATGTGATGCTTGGGGCTTGGTTTTTTTGTTTGTTTGGGGTGGGTTTTTTTGCTACAAGGTCATTTTTGCAGATTATCAGCTTTAATATTTTTCCTCTCTTTTTTACTGATTCCCATCCCTTTCCTCCTAATTATTCTGTCATGGTTTTTCCACCCCCTCCCTTCCCCTGTACCTGGTCTCTCTCTGCTTTTATTGTCCAGGTTTCTGGAATTAGGAGCCCTTTGGATCACATTTTACTGTGATGGTCTAGCTGGCCAACTTCAGTTATTTTATCTCCTGCCCTAATTAGTATTATTAGGCTGAACTGAAACAGGTTTCACATTTCTCACATATATATTACCCCTGGTTGCCACCTCTTCCTCCTTCACGGATTTCTGTTGTCCTCGTGCTCGTCTCCCATGCCGGTCAGTTGAGCTGGCTCTGCCTGTAGCTGCATCGCTGGGGATTGATTTTTTTTTTTCCTCAAGTTGAGTTCATGAAACATAGAATCACAGAAAAAGATTCTTTTTTTTTTTCCCTCAAGTTGAGTTCATGAATCACTATGTCAACTGTTTCCAGTTAGATAGTTTGTGTATATTTGTGTGCCCTCTGCCCAGCAAGTGTCTTTGAAATTCGTTGTTCCCTATTTTCCCGTTATTAGCTTGGAGATCATTTTGCTGCTGCAGGTGATATTGACCCGTGGTGTTCTGCAGGGTCATCTCCCCCGTCCCTGCCATACATCTTCAGGGACCGCCGGGGCTTCAGGGCGCTCTTCCACACCAAGACCCAGTGCAGACTGCCACACGTACCGAGTTACTTTCAGTTTTCCAAGTTTGGTCTCACCGGTTGCCTTCCATCTGCAATTGTAGTGACCCCTTTCCGTTACTCCCCCGGGGTCGGTGCCTGTTGTCTTCGTGGTTCTTGAGAAAAAGCTTTAAAGTCGTCTTTTTTTTTTTAAATGTCACCCGTGTGACAATCCCATTTTCTGGTTTATTGGATGGACTTCATCCTGATGCTTTTCTTGCATTCCATATTTGATCTGCATTTAATAATAATTTTCCACAAAATCCATCTTTCTCTTGGTTTAGCTTTCCCCTCCCTCTCCCACAGGTGTCTTTAGTACAGTTTGTCCCTTACCCATGACCCTCCAGCCTTTTCTGGCTTGGTTGGGTTTTCATTTCTGCTTTGACTGGAATTGAAGCTTGCTTCATGAATGTTTGAGCATGGCCTGTGCATCCTCAAGACTCAAAGTGGAAACGCTGAAGCCCACTTGAATCCCAAGAGGCATGTATTCCCATTGTGATCCCGAAGACTTCTGAAAGCTCAGCCTCAGCAAAGCCCAGCTGGATGTGCTTAGCTTTCAGGATGGGTTTGCACCCTAGATTAGACATCAGGAAGAAGTTCTTCCCGGAGTGGGTGGGGAGGCACTGGGACAGGTTGCCCAGAGAAGCTGTGGATGCCCCATCCCTGGGAGTGTCCAAGGCCAGGCTGGATGAGGCTTGGAGCAACCTGGTCTAGTGGAAGGTGTCCCTGCCCATGGCAGGGGGTGGGACTGGTTGAGCTTTAAGGTCCCTTCCAACCCAAATTGTGCTGTGATTCTGTTTCCACTGTGTTTGCATCTTCCATCAGTCAGCTTAACTCTGGGACTCACGAAGAATTTTGTATTGTTGTCAGTGAATTTTTAGGATGTTAATGAGCCGTGGATCTGGGCTGGCTTCTCCCAAGGCCAATTCCTTGCTCTTTGGGTTTCTCCTGCATCCCTTGAGGCCCATTTGACCCACACGTTTCTACAGATGTCACAATGTTTTGTGTTTCTCTGCATGCCCTTGCAGAAGCATTTGGAGCTGCATGCACAGCTCTTGATGCTGACAGTGTGTTGACACAGTCTGCTCTTCCAAGGAAGAAGAGAAGTCCTAATGCATGGAGAGAAATGCCTGGCTATGGAAGTCTGAGATCGCCCCGCAGGTCAGTGCTCTCTGGTCCTGTTAGAAAGCAAATTCCTACATCAGCCTTTTGTCCAAAAATGCCCTCTCTCCCCAGCTGCAGCTCAACAGCTCTTGACTAGCAAACCCTGGCCGACCCTTTCCCTTCAAGAGTGAAAAGTCAAGGAGTCCCCTGCAAACATGAGATGTCCCAGGAGC